CAACAGATAGTAGCATGACTCATTACTGACACCTGCAGATTCACCAATGGCTAGGACGAGCCATTGCACTGCTCGGAATTGCGCAGGTTCCACTAGGTCTAACCTTGTACGGATCGCCACTGGTTCTGTTTATACTCTTCGCCGTCTGGACATTTATCCTCGTGATCCTCTACTTTATCCTGTCGTACAGGAGCCAGCCAGAATTGGACTTTGACGATCGTAGCACTTATATAACCGATCGCTCGTACAGTACCAGACGCAGTCGCCGAAGCAGGGGCCCAGGTGTGGGAAGGGTTGCAGCAGCAGGAGCAGCAGGAGCGGGTTTAGCTGCATTGGGTTCAGGAAGATCTCGAAGCCGGACTCGCAGCAGACATGGCGGAACAGTCATCAGCTCCCGAAGGGATTCTCGCTCTCGTGTCACCGCTTCTGACTTTACGGAATCTTACCTGAGCGATGAAAAATACGGTGCCGACCGCAACAAAGGAAGTACTTGGAAGGATCGCCTTCTCGGGGCTGGAGCTGCCGTTGGGGGTATTTTCGCTGTCAAAAAGCTATTTAACCGTAAAGAAAAGCGTCCTCCAACTGAGACCGGAAGCGATTTCAGCTACAGCCGCGGATTGGGCCCTTCTGAAGTCACTCAGACCGACATTTCAAGGCTAGAAGAAGGACGCGCCCCCGGATCTCCAGCAAACCGTAGAGACGACTGGCGTCGTGTCGAGGAACGTGATACCCAAGTGTCGGCAATGACTGGAAGCAACCTACGATCGAACCATCGCCAAACGAGAAGTGTGACATCTATAGACTCTTTCGATAGTCGGACCAGCTTCAGCGACGAGACCGACATGAGGCCCAAGGATCGTTCTTACGGACTGAAGGAGGGGGTCGCTACTCTTGGTGTATTCGGCTTTCTCAAGCACTCTCTGAGCAAACGCAGCAAGAAGAGGGAGGACGAGCATGTGGAAGAAATGAGGGAGCAAGACATGGAAGAAGAACGCATCGCTCGCATGAACAGCCAACGCCGCAAAAAGTACGGTGCTGATAGCACTCCCCCGCGCAGGGGAGGACGACCTCCATCGACTATACTTTCAGACAGCGATATGACCGGTATCACACCCTCCGTAGCCCGTCCGCCCATGGAATCTACCGTCACGCCCTCAGTGAACCCTCATCGACCCCCTCGCGCTGGCGTCTACAGTGTCTTGTCGGACTCTGGATCAGAAGCTTACGACTCCCCTGGAGGCCGTCATCATCAACGACGTCGCACTGCGGGCGATGCAGCTGGAGGCACAGTCATCTCAGCAGCTTCACAATCCAAGCATCGACGCCGAGGCAGTAGAGACGATGTTGCATCTCCCCCTGTATCTGTCAAAGTCAAGATGCACAACGACGGACGTCATGTTACTTTGCGACGACTCAATGAAGAGGAGGCAGCCGCAGAGCGTGAAGCAAGGAAAAAGGATCGTCAACGAAAGAACCGCGCTGGAAGTGTTAGTTCATTGAGCGGTATCGGTGGCGATCGCTGGCGCAGGACTGAAGCCATGGAAGCGGCGCAAGCGCAGGAGATGGCACAACAAGCTGGCATACCTCCTCCACCTCCAATGCCAGGCTCAACACCTCTGCGCATGCCCGAGGCTACCATTCCCCCACCTCCTGCCGGCCCATCCGGAGCTTATGACCAACCCGGACCCAGCAATCTTTCTCCACCTCCAATGCCAGGTGCGGTAGATACTGTCCTAAGCAGTCCTCCGGGTACTCAAATCCACGGCACCGAGACAGACCTTAGCAACTACGACACCAACAGGCGTAGACGGAGAGCAGAAAGAGCCCAGGCCAAACAGGCTAGGCTAGGCGGAAGTCGGGTTGAGTTCTCCTAATTGTTGATTTTTTTGCATGAAACGAGACGAGAGAAAAAAAGAGTAGTCGCTTATGACAGACATGTGTATGTGTGCGAACTGCATTGTTTTCCGGCGTCATGATTGTGTATGTATGTATGTAAAGTGAGTAAGAGGTGACGTTTGGCATGTTATATGATTGAGCGGTTGTTTTTGACCCATTGGCGCCATACGTTGCGCACTTGTTCATAGATTGAATTAGTTGGTTCTTGTTTTTTGTATAAAATACCATTGGTTATGTTGCTGTGCAGATGATGCGTCTTGTTGTTTGGTTCTTGAATTGTGATTATTGATGTGTAGGTGTTGATAGTTTAAGGTTTCGTTACTTGCTTCTGAAGAGCACGGGTCGTAGGTGTGTGGTGTGTAGGAGCATAAAAAGATGGTAGATTGTGTTGTTCGTTGGTTCAGGCAATGTTGTTGATTAGCATGTTAAAGTCCTGACAAGGTCTGATAAACAATTCTGATATCGCTTGTTCTTGTCGGTTTGTATTGGACCACTGTTCTGTGCAAGAGGTGAGCGGCTCAGACAAATATGCCGTGTGTCTACAGGTTAGGCTCAATACAGTATATTTAAATTCAAGAGAAGATACTACAAAACCTGTTTGATGGGCGGTATTCAGACGTGCGAGAGCTATTTTTATATCATGCATGTGATAGTAGTCCTGCCTCGGTTGTCTTCATCTCATTCCCACCACTCAATTTGAGAAAGTCGTTGAACTTTTGTTGGCTACCACCTCCTCTTCCGTTGATCTTGTCTCCATCATCCGCCTCTCTAACTGCGTTTCAGTTCTTCAAGACCATACCCCATTCTCTTGTTGATCCCCACAGGGGTATTCAATGTCATCATCCGAACCCTATTTTAACATTCTCGCCAAAGGTAGCCCCGGCATCAAAAAGGCGAAGGGTCGGCCCGCCATCTTTGACGATAGAACGCTGAACACCTAATCACAAAATACGAAGCGGAGGTAAGACCCAAATAGGAAACAGGTTGATCCACTTGCGACTACCCGTATATAACTTTATTTGTACAATAATCCATTGAGTATCCTGCGCCAATATGAAGACTGTAACATCTTACTCGGAGTCTACAATGTGGTCAGTAACAGCGAGCATAGCGGAATAACATCGGAGATAAGGAGGTAGTCCCGAAGGCTTCTGGAGCGGTGAAGGAGTGTCTGCAGCAGATCTCTCATACGACTATGACGTAGCCTGGGATGGCTCGGTGGTATTATCGAGTACATATGAAACAGTGTAGAGCCATGTAATTACAGTACACGCAGGAAGCTTTTTGGTGTAACAGCTTTGTGCCTGATGAGATGGGGGGATTTGCGTGGTACACACACAACAGGCTCGCTAAGCCTAAGATGGCAGACTTTGCGAAGTTTGAGGGTTCGTTTTGTGTATGAGAGTTGAACTGCTAAGTACACTTGTCTTCACGGAACTGTTTCCGCAATTGAGGCGGTAGAAAATTGCAGACTAGTTTAGTTTGCTTCACAGGAAGTAGTATTTTGGTTGGGGTTAATATAAAAAAGTGCCTGCCGTAATCGTGTGTGGCGTCTACCGGTGACCGGAATCCAGTCATTGTTGGCTGTACGGACAAATAAAAACGGCACGCTTGAGAAGCAATTGTCACAAACGACACATAGATTAGATAAACATCTGCTACCAGTACAGAGAGGGTTCGCTTAGAACTGTAGATTACCCGACCCCAGGATGACACGACGATATGAGTAGTCGGTGCAGTGCAAGGCGGCCGATGCATGTCAAGTAGGGAGACGCGGCAATGTCACTGCTATTCATAGGTGACAGCGTATATTTGGGTTGCAACGCTCCCTCCCGTTCATGACTCGCCTGTTGAGCAATGCATACCCTTACAGCACATCAGCCATGTGGTGAAGGGGTTCAAGACGATCATGAGACGATGTTTTGGAATGCTAGCGGCCACGCGGGGCGATGATGGTTGCATGAAGCGCCAGTGAGCCGAGTAGTCTGGATTGGACAGCCCAAAAGCAGGCCACCGCCCGTGGATTGCAGACAAAGATATTTTGACCGTCCAAGAGGGCAATGTGTAGAGGAGTAACGGGTGACGTTGGGCTCCGCGGAGGAGGTGCCAAGCATCACGAATCTTACCACGGGCGCAGCCGCTAGCGAAGCATGAGCGAGCGAGGTACATGTCGCCAGTTCCCCGGATCTACAAAAGCCTCAACACCATGACTATACGTACATGCAAATGTACACAACGCGGGCGGTCTTTCAGGACTTTTCGCGCCTTTTGCAAATTCTATTCGCCGTGACGTCTAGCGTAAACGTAACCGGACGGTGGCAGCACTACTTCTGGAGGCGGGTCCAGCCTCTCCCATTCGTGGTCTCGACGGTCCTGTACCAATTTTGATCGCTGCCGGCAGCATCTCGGAAGCTTGAATGTCGCGATCGGATGGTGGAGACCGCAAAAGGCCCTTTAGGGAAGAAGATATAAGTTATCAGGACAGCGCCGCAGCGGCGCGACAGACCTTTTTGGGTCCGCAGTCCCGTATACAGACAGAGAAGAAACAATGTTCGAACGACGCCTAGCAACGGAACGCGGCGGCCCTATGAGACCTCTCCTCGCTCGCCCGCTCGCTATGCCCATCAAGGATCTTTGCCGGGCTTCTTTACCAAACGAGAGGCGAGGGCTGCTGCTGCGCCTCGGTGGACAGCAGCACCTCGTCTGATACGTACACAGACGATCGATTCATGGCTGCTCCTGCTACTACGCACTACGTACACGTCCAGCACACTCGAGCGTCTCTCCATGTCAGGTGCTTTTGAGCTACGTCGAATTGTTGGGTTGCATGACGACAACTGCGGCAAGTATCGACAGCCCCATGTCGCCACACAAAACCTCGACAATGGAGCAAGCCGTTGTCGGCGTTATCAACCCGTGTCTCTCCCATTGTACGGACGCTGCCCAAGCAGCGTGTGTCGTCGGTTCATCAGTCAGGGAGTGAGATGGTCAATTCTAACTTCAGCCTATGTTTCTTGTTAGGCACTTGCGCAGCGTCTGACACCGCACGGCGAAATGAGATTGTGACGTTCCCCTTTGCGCGCGCGGACGAGCAGAGGCGGCGTTTACAGTGGTAACCAGGGACCAGATGAGATCAGGTCAGGCTGCGCAGCGCTGCAGACAGCCCGAGGGGGCTCAGCACCTTTTTGATACCGCGACATGAGCCTTCTCGATGTTCGGGAAAAATATCGCAACAACCCAGGGCATCCATTACGGGCTACTTGCCCAGCGGGGCAACCTCGGCCAGTTACAGGTCGCCCTAAAATCACACTAACATGAAGCTCCCGTCGCTGGCAGGAACCGACCGTGCCATCGCTGCCGCATGCCCAGCGGTCAGCCTGGGATGTTTCTCCAAGCATGGTCCAGCCAGCAGACCGCCTAAGCCCATGGCTTGCGGCCGTGTGGTAAGCGTTAAACCGGCTTCCGACGCGCTGCCCTGCAGACTCCTTCCCCAGTCCGTGGAACCAGGGACTCAGGCCGCTTCTCCAGGCTAGGTCATTGGACTCGCAACCCTCCAGCCCCATCCCGGCTGGTCCAGTGATGCTAACTAGTTGAGTCTAATATGCACTTTCGACGCTTGGGCTCTTCAATCGTCCAGGTTAACCAGGTGCGAATGAGCGTTCATTCAAGCACAATGACACAAGGAACCTTCTACGGTATCTCCCCGAATGTAGTCGCAACATGTCTGTTGTACTAAAAGGAACCAGCGGATCCGCTCGGCGACTGCATTCCTCATCAAGTAGATGACGAGACGTTCCCACACTAGCTTGTCACTCCCTCATGGCTTCCAATCCTACCTCGACTGCTCCGGTCAAGCGAGCCTGCGATAGGTACGTACCGTCGGTACACTCAACGTCGATGCTCCCACACTCACACTGTCGCCCTCGACTACAGCTGCCACCGAAGAAAGGTCAAGTGCATCGGAGAAGGCACCGCGCCATGCAAGAATTGTGTTTCTGCTGGCCTTGCATGCACATACAATGCCATCCCGCAAAAGAAAGGTCCCAAGGGCTCCCGCGCCAAAGTCCTCTCTGAACTCCGCGAAACCCAGCGCAACGCTCAGCTCGCTGCTGGTTACCCTACCGATCTCGGCTTTGACGGACGCTCACTGCCAGCCACATTTGCCCGCACCCAAGGGCTGTTACCCCCCGCTCTCGTCGAGAGCTGCATAGAATACTTCTTCAACCATGTTTACCCCTCAGAGCCTGTCCTGCACCGCCAAAGGGCGCAGGAAGCCGCCGTTGGCATGGACCGCTCCACTGAATCGTACTGTATGATTGTTGCACTGTGTGCATACGTCATGATTCAGGCCAACCACAAACCGCCCGTCAGCGTGCTCCCTCGTCCAGAGATGGCTCACATGTCAAATGTCGGTGTTGGTCACATACTCCTAGAAGAATCAGTCCGCGTGCGACAAGGCTACGACCACCGCGAGAACCCCACGCACACGAGCGTGCTTACCTCGTGGTTTTACAGCGGCTGCTACTTTGGACTGGCGCGAGAGAACACAGCCTGGACATATCTCCGGGAAGCCACAACACACGCGCAACTTCTGGGTATGCACGATGAGGAGACCTACAAACACGATCCCTTGGATGTATCCCGAAAGCGCGTCCTCTACTGGCTTTTGTTCATTGCCGAGCGGTATGTCCACACGCGCTCTGGACTTTTTTCTTTGCCTTTGTTCCATTTTTCTAACGATTTGACAGAACCTACGCTCTACACAAACACCGACCTATCACATTACACCCCACCATACATCCTCCTCAATTAGATGAAGTACCCACGGATCGGCCAATTGCGGTTGGACTAGAACTCATGATCAACATGTTCAAGATTATCGACGACACCTTTATCAACCTGTGGAATCGGGTACACAACACACATGTGAGCGCTGCATGGATAACGCAGGTGCAGACGCAGCTTTCAGAGGCCGTGCCTGCATATTTCGAATGCAGCGAGGCGCAAGAGGTGCAAATTCGTATCACTCAGCAGTGGCTGAAGTCACAGACCTGGCAGCTCAGTGTTTGTCAAGGGCTCGTAAGCAGCGTCTCGAATGACGTGCCGCTCACATTCAAGTACCCGATCGAAATCGCCCGCGACTTGCTCACAATCTCACATCAGTTCTCCCAGCAATCCATGGAAGTCCATGGCGTCGGCTTAGTAAGTAGATTCATTTTCTTTTGCATGCTTGTTCCTGTCTTGACATTGGAGTTCATCCCCGCTCCAGCCCCTCCGTCTCGTGCAGAGATCCCTGTCATATTGCGATCTTACTAGGGCCGCGCTAGCCAACGTCTATCTCTGACGTCCACGTCCTGACTAGCTTAGCCCCCCTCGACCTCACCCCCCTGGTCGTCCCTGCACATCCCACCCTTGCAACGTTTTACCCTATCTGTCAGGTCAGTCATTAGCTAACAGTATTGCAGATCGAGAAATTGTTCGACATAGCCTGTTGTCTGACTGACGTGGTCGCTTGCACATCCTTCTCACCAGACACGTTTGCCCTTGGACCTCGAGACTATGTATCACGGTTTTTGACACTCATCTCGACACTGCGCGGAGGACAGTCACGATATCTTCCCCTCCTACTGGCCAAACTTTCCGAAGTCCTGCCCAATTTACCGCTTCCCCGATCCCTAAACCTCCCCCAGACGGTTCCCGCATCGACGCTCGGCCTTAATGCTACTGGTTCGGGGACCCTTCCCTCCAATGTCGCCGAAGACTTTTCGGCAAGTCCCGCCTCATCTTCGCCCTCGTACCATTCCAACGATCTCATTCGACGGCTGGCCGCTCAAACTGGTGCCCAACTTCCCTTCAACACGACTCAGCAATCCATGATTCCTGCCCCCACCACCCACGTCGGCGATCTGTCGCTGTACGACACCTCACACAACACTTCACATTCGACGAGCACTGCTAACAGAAGCACCTCGACGACACCTGGTCCATACGAAGCGCCCATGTCACAGTCACGGTCGCAAATTGTAGGACACAGCAACATGCAGATTCCCACATCGCATAGCCATATGCAAAACCACCAGATGGGCGTTAATGCAACAGGATACGATCCCAGGTTTTCCATCCAAAACTACCCTGTGGATCCCATGATGTACAAGCAATAGATTTTATGGACGTCCAGAAGCAGAGCATGAAAGTCCAACAGCGCATATCTTTTTTTCCTTGTCCCAGGCCACAGGCCCATGTATATTTGGTAGTAGGGTATAGTTTTGGCCCATTCAATTTTTTGTGTTCAACTTTCCGTACGGAGACCACCCAAAGAAATTTCGAGTGATTGAAACAACGACGAGAGCACATTTGCAGCAAAAAAACTGGAACCAAGTTTTGAAAGCGACCTGTCAAAATCCGTCAAACGCGTCCGGAACCAGGGTCCAAGACTGAAATCCTACGATTCAGGGCTACCAAGCCACCAAGCTCGCAAGGCCAGCAACGAACGACTATCTCCCGGTAGTCCTTCCGATGTAAAAAAAACGATGAGACGGGGGGACATCGCACGTGCGTGCTGGATGAGGTCAGGGCTGGGTGTGGAAAGTCGATGCGAGAAGAAGGGCAGGCATCACATGGATGAAGCGTCGTACCGCAATGCCTCTTTGACGATGGTGCAGCCAGGGCAATAGTTGCGACAGCACCACATCCATGGCACGGTCAGCCTTCTCGAACACGAAGATTACAAAACCATGGGCACATTACGTGCTTGGAAATCTTGGGGCCAACATGGTTGATCGTGGCAGCGATACAGTTGAGGTGGTACTAGTACTAGGATCCTGGGGCTTGACATGGCATGGATGGTGGCAGGTCGAGTGCGGCTGTGCTTGTTCCGCGCTCTCCGCAAACATGCATGATGACGGTGATCCCGGTACATTGTTATTGCGAGTACGAGTTCGGAGGATGCCGAATAGCGTAGAAGGCAACAAATGAGACAAGAGGGAAAGAGCAAGAGGGAGGCGGAAGGGATCCGAGGGACTGGGTTTCTAGTATGCGAAAGAGAAGGGGGGAGTGAGAAAGAAAAAAAAAAGCGTCCAAGCATACCTAGTCAAATGTACACGCGTACCAATGTTTTTCGAAAATCCATCACATGTGCATGACGATTATGAACTGGCGAGACACGAAGGGGATAGTGCAACCACCATGTACGGCACACTAACGCGCAAGCTAACGCCAAACCCGCTTGCCATGCCGCCCAAGTCACGAAACACGTTGTTGATGGCGACTGCCACGTGACGCGCTTCAATATGCAACACCTGGACTGACTCGCAACCCCCCCCCATTGGGCTTCAACAGGGCTGTCACTGTCCCCCCTTTGGATACCAATTGCACGGTTCATGTCGAAAGTGTCTCAAGCTTTATCTCTGGGGTCGGCCCGTCTAACGTCGGAGCGTTTTTTTTCCTGCCCTCGCTCGCTCCCCTTCTTTGCTAAATTTTTTTTTTAGCAAGATTCGCAAAAGCTTCCTCTGAGGTGATATCACTGACAGGCCAGGGGAGGGGGAG